CATTTCAGAGGAGCTTACTACATCTATCATCAGGGTGATGAGTCTCCTGATCTCTTTGCCTTGGTCAGTAACTTCCAGACTGCATTGTATAACATCCCAAAAGATAGCAATCATAAAAATGGATTCTGTTGCAAGGATTCTGCAAACAAAATGGATTCTGCCTGCAGCACTTGCTGGAGACTTTTCTGCAGTTTTTCTTCCCACGTTATGCATCAGCCCTTATTCCATGCTATTCTAAAGATCTTAGCTTTTCATTGGATGTTTTGCAGTGTAGAATGTGGGAATTTGCCAATGAGGAGTCCAGAAAATGGAACAGATTTTTCTACCACATCACAGGTCTGCTTTGAAATGAGCAGTTGACAACATTCGGTCTCATTTGTTGACTCCTGTTTTATGTCTATCCACTTTAGGTGAGACTTAGAACATCAAAGGAGGTCTAGTACTAGAGGTATTGATTTGTCGAACACTGCAGAGTTCATGTTGATTTTACATTTAAAACTAAGGTGATTTTTTAAGTATATCAAATCTAAAACTTCTTGACGATGGTGAAGAGTCATTTGAATATCTCCGGAGATAGGGATCAGCTCCATCTAGTGGGCCCAACTGTGTAGGAACCTGAAGACGGAGATAGAGTCCCATCTCCGAAACGTCGTTTTACGTTTTATATTTTATATTTTACTAGACGATGGATAATATCCAAGGAAATTTTTATTCAAATAATTTTTTAAGATTCTGCTAGTACAGTCTCTGCATCTTGGCTAAATGAGACATAGTATTGGCATAACTGTCAGGCTCAAAGTGTTAAATAACACAAGACAAGAAATTATACTGTTGCTGTAAAGGAAAGGAGATCAGAGAGAAAGTTGGCATTTGTGAACTTTTGAGGATATTAAGTGCTATCGCACTGAAATGTTAGTTTCAGTTTCAAGTTGAATCTCACACATTAATCTCTTAACAATAAGACCTCACTAATCTGGACCATCTGTAACAGAGGCTGCCTTATTTTTGATGCATGTATTTTATTTGTGTAGAATGAAGAATTTCGTGATTGAGAATTTAATTTCTAAGCATTTTTACAGTTTTATTTTTATCATATTTTTTTCCTGATTCCATCTAAGATAACACATGTTGGTGGAGTGTGAATAAATTTGCACGATTTTATATACTACAGCTTAAAATATTTACGTACATGATGGTGTTCAATGATTATTACATATTCCATATTCATCGCCCTGATGACGGAGGCAGTATGACCTCTGAAACTTTGGTTAACATTGACCGGACTACACAGCGCAACAACCCAGAAGACAGAAATATTCGATCGTATATCTCTTGGTTCAAGTATTAATGATATGTATTATTCTTGTTTGATTGATGAAAACTTTAGTAAGCCATTATTCCTTTCTGTAGGTTTTCCTTGAAGTATTTCGAAAACAACCCATCTCCGTTCCACGATATGAAAGTTTATTCTGCAGCCACAAGTTTGTCAAAGAAAAGGAAGTTTTCATCAAAGAAGACATCAGATGCCATTATTGTGACAGATTTGGAGATTGTTCAGTCCTGTTATAGCTTTCTTCATGTTTCAAGTGACTATTTTAGACAATGTTGGAACTGGTCTGATTTTATTAAGATGTATGTGGGACACAAAGATGACTTTATATGCTGGTAAGTTTCTCTAACGTCAAGCACAAGTAGAATTTGAAATTGTATCAGTAACCATTATTCAGTGTGTTTGCTTACATACTTACTTGCTTGCTCACCCACTCCTTAAGGGGGGTTCACACGGAGTCGAGGACCAGGCGAGAACACTACTCTATTTGAGTGAGTCACACGACCTGCTTAATAACGCCCGTCTCCAGTTCCCACCTGACTTTGCAAATGTTTCTTCTCGCCTTCAGAGTCACGGTGCTTCAAAATGGCACACGAATGACTTGGTCGTGATCACTCCAACATGCCGGAGTGGTTACGACCGCTGTCTTCAAGGTCGTATACTACCAACTGTGCAACGACGACTAGTTCCCACTCGGTAGTGAGCACGACTTCCGGTCCTCTTGGTCGTGTTCTCGCCCGGTCCTCTTTGTCGTGTTCTCGCCAGGTCCACGACTCCGTGTGAAGCCCCCTTTAGAGTTGAGTCCTTCCTGAGAAGCCAAGTCACTCAGCCGCTCAAGAAATTACCAACATTTTATGGAACCTGAAGATTCATTACCATGTTCACAAGAGGCCGCCGCTGGTCCCTATCCTGAGCCGGATGAAACCACAACTGCTTCTCTGATCCCTCACTGCCAGCTCTTTGTAATTTAAATGTATTCTGTGTTGTAAACCTTGTTGAAGAAATTTGAGCAGTATAATTGTGGAATCACTTGGTTTGATATTTGGTGTTTCAGGCTGGCTTGCCAATGTATTGCTGATGTTACTGGTATGACAGATACACAAAGACAAGCTTTTATGGCTGCACATTTGTCTCCTAAAGCTGTTAGAGCTTGTACAATCAGATTTGACAGTTCTCAGCCAAACTACGATAGCGTAAAAGAAGATGCTTGGAAAAGGAAGTCATCTTCAAATGAAAATGTCTGTCGCGTTTCAAAAGTAATTGTGTCTGTTTCGGGGATTCAGTTGCCTGTGTTCAATCCTGAAAGTCAGGTATGTGTTAACAGTGTAATATTTTTATATAAAGATGTAATTTTACTCTGAAATAAAGTAATCATATTTTTTATTGGTAGTTAAAGAAGTCAGATATAAATGACATGATCATAATGAAAAAGAATAGTTTTGTGTGTTGTGCTGGTTTGGGTATGTTTTGAATATATCATAAATATGATTAAAAATAAAGTACAAGAATTCACAATGCATTTTGACCTGAATGGTCATCTTCAGGTGCTGTATCAGTTTCTGTCTAAATTGTATGTGCAATTCTGCAATAATCCATAACACAGCACCATTCGGATTATTTCTAATGCTGTCTTAACTGATACTGTTTTACTTGCTAACGAAGTGACAAAACTTCAAATTCACAGACACGCACGCATACACATGTACACACACTGGTCCAGTTTAAGCTTGAGAATACTATTAATTGAGTTGCTGTAGTAGTGTCTTTCTATAAAATTTTAATTGGACTTCAGAGACACAACACCAGTGCTTATTAGTTGATTTGCTTGGCCGCAGCAGATTCTTGAAAATCACAATAAAATCGAGCTATCGATTTTGCGTATGATTTTGTTGTATCCAGAATTTTATTGTCACTGGGAACATACTGGAACTACTAAGGCTGGATGCATCTCTTGCTGTTGAAAAGTAGGGTCTTAGTTCCTCCTCTGTTTCTATCATGTGTGTACAGTCCGCAGACCAGGAGAAAATCCCTGCTAGAAATTCGTTATACGCGCATGCGCAAGATTTTGCGGTGAGTGACGACCCATCCTAAAAGCATTCGTTCCACAACCACCGAACGAACAACAGACGACAGGCTTTCATGTGTTCTAATGGGTACAGCTTTAAGATTACCTCACAGCGGCACAGCGATTTAATCTAGAATATTATCGCAACACCCGCAGAACACATTAAAAGTGCGCTCACTACACGCTACTCTTAACTGCTTGATGTTTTCAGTCTGTGTGTAGTAGCCTTAAACTCTGACGTATCACACTTCCCACCAATAGGAGCCCTCTAGTCCACCAGGCAGTAAACATTCCCCCCGCACCACACCAGGGATTTTCTTGTGATCTGTGGACAGTAAGTAGACTTCCTAAAGAATCATCAGCAGAGGCAGGAGCCAAAACTCCTGTTACAATAACTTCGGCTTTAGTCCTCCTGCAGGACATTTTCTTCGGTGTCTGAATTGAGAAACGCTGCCTGAAAATGTGGCATTACATTCCTGAAATGTTGGTAATAAATGACTACATGGCGCCAGAAGACCACAGCCACCGGTTTCTCCACCGTGAGAGCCTCAAATCTCAGATTGTGATTTTTCCTTAAGTCCTGATTTCTATCTGTAGGTAACTTTGTCTTGTCCTTCCATGGTTCCTGAAAGTTGTATGAAGCTTTCTGTTTCTTCTCTTTACAAGATACACCCATCAGCACGTACTGCTCTGTTCCTTGTTACGATGTTGTTATGTTATATGATTTATCATTCTTATGGATATTCCAGAAATGTGTATTATTATAGGAAGTATGCAAATTTATTTTGCAGGACAAAAGAGGCTGCCTCGTTCCTGTTAACTCGACACTTGGAAATCTGAAGAGTTTGGCTTTGGCTGTGGCGTCTGGTAGAGCAATATGTCTTCAAGGACCTGTGGGTTCAGGGAAGACATCTTTGGTAGAACATTTAGCATTGTTAACAGGTACCTGGCTGGAAAATTATGTACAGTGCTGTCAATTCTGAGTTGTGTTACTATCGTCGTCACAGGTGTAATATAACTCCTTTCCATTTAGGTCGTAACACTGCACCTTATTACTTGAAAGTTCAGTTGGGTGACCAAACTGACAGCAAGATGTTACTGGGATCTTATCGATGTACCGATGTTCCTGGTGAATTTGTGTGGCAGCCAGGTGTTCTAACACAGGTGAGGAAGGGCACGATTGTTTTTTTTAATTAATTCATTGACCCGTACAACAAAATCTGCAAATTATCCCAGCGCCAAATTCATGTGGTTACGTGCTGTAAAAATATTATCTTGTAATTGCAAGTGTTCATCGAAAAAGTGTTCCATGTTAACATGTTTACTGCCAAGCACGTTGAACAATGTTTTTGTTATCTTTTGCTGTCAGTGTCAAATATGTTTATATAGTTGAGATGATAATGTTGCATCATATTGTGTTGAATATATACTTGTTCAATTTTATCAGTCTAATCACAATAAAATATTATTATTAAATATTAAAATATTGAAATTATTACAATTAACATTTAAATATTTAAAATATATTAAAATGTATTAAAATCGAACATGTCGATAAAGAGCATCATTTTAATACATTTTAATATATTTTAAATATTTAAATGTTAATTGTAATAATTGTAATAATTTTAATATTTAATAATAATATTTTATTGTGATTAGACTGATAAAATTGAACAAGTGACATATAGTTGCTTATATTTCCTAGAGATATCATAAATTCAGTCAAATTTTCATAGATGATGGAGGAAGCTCTGATGTATTGATTTATGTGTTTACAAGGGATATTATTTTGTGAAAGAATGACCTGTTCCTCTGTAATATTGTCGTTGCCTCATGTGTATAAATGTTTGATGTGAAGTTTAGAAAAGCAAAATGTTTGTGCGGAAGTGAATAACTATACAAGATATCACACCCTAAAGTGGTATTAAAGGTAACCTTAAAATATGTAGGATTTTAGATATATCAGATCTAAAACTTCTTGACGATGGTGAAGAGTCAATTGAATAAAAATTTTCTTGGATATTATCCATCGTCTAGTAAATATAAAACGTAAAACCGGAGATAGGGATTAGCTCTATCTAGTGGGCCCAACTGTGTAGGAACCTGAAGACGGAGATAGAGTCCCATCTCCGAAACGTCGTTTTACGTTTTATATTTACTAGACGATGGATAATATCCAAGAAAATTTTTATTCAATTGACTCAGGATTTTAGGTGTTCATGGCGGTGAGTACAAAGTTGTAATACCATATAGTCTAGTAGAAGTTTACCACCATTTCAGAGGTTCTTGCTACCTCCGTTATCAGGGCGATGAATACTTATTGATCTGCTCCAAGGTTCTTGTTCCACTGTAGTAGTTACGGTATTTTCAGCGGTTGACATGCATGGATGATATGCATTGCGACTTGCAGGAGGTTTAATATTTCCTGTCTGCTGAAGACACTGCTCTAATCATGTAGTGACTGGTTGATGATGTTCAGTAAATTGTTGAGCGTATTTCCATGATTTAATTTGAGCTTGGCTATCACAGGCACCCACGGTTAGGAGCATGACACGGAATCCATCGTGTGTCTTCCGTGACTGTTCAGTCACAACTCTGAACTTACTGTGCACTTCATGTCTACACTTAGGCACTTAGGGCACAGTGACTACTACACGATGAGCTGCGTGTAGTGACGTGGGTGTGCAAATGATGTTTTGTATTCGGTGTAAGCCTACTTTAGAAAGTGCAAAAGGACTTTTCAGCAGATAGTGACATAGTTATAATTGGTAGTTTTATAATGCATTCTACCCATAGGCTGTGATTGCTGGATGTTGGATCCTTCTAGAGGACGTAGACTCGGCTGCTGCCGATGTTGCGACTGTTTTGGCTTCGCTTGTGGAGACTGGAACACTGTCTGTGCCTGGCTACAAAGACTGTGTGAAAGTTGCTCCAGGCTTTCAACTCTTCGTTACGAAACGGTAAACAGAGAAGTCAGTTGTCGCATGTCATGCTTAATCCTGTACTATTTTCTTACTGATTATGCCTGTAGTAGAGAAGTACCTAATCACATTTGCGAGCTATGAATTTAAAAAAAACTAAAATTTCAGAAAGTGTGTTAGTTGAGATGGATTCCATTGCAATAGCGTTGTGAAGCCGTAGTCTAAATGATGAATTAACTCTAAACCAAAGTTGTCCTAAATTGTACAGCGTTGCATGAGACTGCATTACCAGTTTGACATGTGCAAGGCTGAGGTGCATGGCATACCTTCATATTTAGCAAGTTTTTTTAGTAATTATAATAACTTATATTCCTTTTAAAATTTTAAACAGAATAAAACATAGCTGTGTACAAATATCTTATGCTTTTAAATCTTCATAATGCTATTTGTTGCATATTAATTTGTTTATAAATTATTTAAATATGACCATTTTAACTGAAGGAGTTGCAAAAACATAGAAATTTTGCTTTGGTAACTGCTTGTGGGACATTTAAAGTTGACACACTACTATGGAAGGTGAGATTCAGACAGATTCTTAAATTTGAAACTAATGTTCAAAGGAACATGTAAAACCTCAATGTAGTTCTCTTGCATTATGCATACTTCCCATGGTCCAAAGATAATGTAAACAGTGTGATACTGTTCTTCATGTAGTTGAAAAAAAAAGCAATATTTTCACCGCCACAACTGTTGTTGTTATTGTTATTTGCCAATGGAAAATTTACTATCCTAGCTCTCCAGTCAGTGACTCCATGATTTTATGATGCTACAACTTATTAATTTGTGAGAGATTAACAGCATTAAACACAAATTAAGTTTGTTTGAAAGATACCAAAGTCTTCTCAGTCATTCATGTGAGAATAGCGTTGTAATCTAACATACTGGGGATTGTCTCTGCCTCCATCATCAGCGCATTCAGTCACTGTGAAAACTTCAAATCTTACACATTATCTCAAAGAGATGTCGCTACTAAATTTCTACGTGGGTTCCCATAGTGACACAGCATATATCCAGCCTTTACTTGATTTCATGTCATGTGGCTCAACATGTATGGTGTGACAGCAGTAACATCTCCAGCGATCCATAGATTACATTTTTGATACGACTGAAAAGGCAGAATTCAAGGGGCGTTAAAATCAGGTGACATCAAGCCACACTGTACTTGCACTTGCAGAATCTCCATCCTACTGAGGACGCCTACCATGTGTGTCAAACGAACAGTGCTGGACGCAGAAGAACATGATACCACTTTGCTATCATGAACTCTTTGCATTATGTATAATTTATTAATTTAATGTTGACTATTGTCTTTATTACCGCCACGGTGGTCTAGCGGTTAGAACGCTGGCCTTGTAATCCTGGGGTCTCGGGTTCGATTCCTGGCGGTGCCCGAATTTATAACTTGTGTTGGGCAAGGCCGTGGTCTAGGCAACACGGAGTTTTCCTCCGTGGCTTCCCAACAATTACTCCCTTCACACACAGAAGAAGGCAATGGCAACCCACTTCTGGATCATCTGCCAAGAACGTATATGAACAGGTCCCAGTCCGAGAAAAGGATGGAAGGATCCTGTTCATATGGACCTGTCGTCAGACAGAACACTAAATAAATAATAAATAATATAATAAATAATTGTCTTTATTGGTCATTAAGATGCAGCATCGTAAAATCCCTTTCTTACCGATTGGACACCCATGTGTCTATATGCATGGAATATGAGTAAACAGTTTTATTCTTTGTAGGTTGTTGCCAAATTTGAGTGGTTTCCACATTCAACATTTTGTTTCCGCTGCTTTCCTTGAGAAACACTGGGTACAGATTAATATTGAACCACTATCAAGACAGGAACTCATCGAGATTGTGGAAACTATGGTGAGTAATCTGTTACTGCTCATGTTGCATCACAGTGAAATATGTTATTTAATCTTTTTTGTCGAGAGAAACAGACCACTTTTGCTGCACAGTGCAGTGTTGTACATTCCTGGAAAACTCACATAAACGAAGAGCTAATTTTAAACAACTCTCTGAAGATAAATGGCCCTGGACATTTGTATAACTTCAGCTTTTGGGTAACAGCTGTGTTTCAAATAACAACTGCAGTGTTTCCTGAAATGTTAGTCAACACCAAAAATTTGACGTGACTTATACCCAAAAGCTGAAGTTACGCATTCAACTCCAGCCACGAAAACCTATGGACATTTATTAATGAAAAGTGTTCCCACTGTTATACGAGGTGCGATCAGAAGGTCTTTGTATGGTTGTATCCAACATTATTGTCATAACACTTTAACATTGGCGTGTGATTCCACCACCAATATCTTTGTGCATGTTGTCAAGGTCAGCTGTCAAACTGGGACTATTGTCTTCCTGGTGATGTCACAGCTAGTGTTTCTATATTTGTGTTCTTTTTTTCAGGCTCTCGTAGGTTGTGGAATGATCCGATATTGTTTGGAACAGTAGAGAATTTTTATCAAACAATTACTACAGTTAATAATATATTAATTATTTTTACAATATGATGCGTCAATATAATTTTATTGTTTTCTTTGTATAAATAAAGTTACTTTCCTGCTATTTCTGTAGCTCAGTTGACTGTAAATATAATCATGACATTTCTCAGTAATATGAATACTGAAACAAAATCTGGATAAAAAATGGGCAAAATTTATAAGCTGGAATTAAGAAGAGGATTTTATGTTGTCTTTTAAGTTAAAATTTGAGCCACCATTGAATTATATTTTTCACAGAATTTGAGGGTTTGATAGTGGTGAAAATGTGGACTGTAGTCTTTTAGGTAGTTGCCGCATCCAATACTGCATGACATCGTAATCCAGAATATCACAATCAGTTCTTTTTTTCTTTTATTTCAGTTTCCCCTGCTGAAGACAATCGCAGGTCGCATTGTGCAAGTTTTCCTCTTGTTCTCAGTTGGGAATCACAGTTCAACTCTACAGCTCGAATCTGAACATGATAAAGAAAGCTGTGAGGGAAGTATCCCAGATGTTAGGACTCCTGGAGTTGGCCGACGATTAACATCGACAAGGTATCAGTGACAATGAATCAATGCAAAGTTGTGTTCAGTGATGGGACGGAAGACATTGATTATTACATGCACATATAATGTGTAAAATGAATTAATTCTTTTATTTATTTATTAGGGATTTGATAAAATGGTGCACAAGATCAGTTGAAGGTTTTGATGTATCATCTCAGGAGTCGGCTCTCAAAGTCTTCCAAGATGCTATAGATATCTTCTGTTGTAGTGTCATAAATCCAGGTATGTTGAAGATTAACCTTTTAAATGCAGACTGTTTTATTAAAGGAAGAGATAGGGCAGATGCAGATCAGTTGGTGTCAAGATCAAGAAATCAGTTATTGTATTTACTACAAATTTTAAGCTGTGAGCTCCAAACAAACACTAGAATGTTAAGAATGAATAGATGTACCCATACCGGTTTCTCCGTGGCATCCCAACAATTACTCCATTCACACACAGAAGAAGGCAATGGCAAACCACTTCTGGATCATCTGCCAAGAACGTATATGAACAGGTCCCAGTCCGAAAAAAGGATGGAAGGATCCTGTTCATATCGACCTGTCGTCAGACAGAACACTAAAAAAAAAAAATCTCGTAGTTATTCAACAAAATTCCCGCCTGTTATGCAACTATAATATCCATTATCGTATTCACTAGTGTCACCATCGGAGCATACAATAAGCCAGTTGGACGTAGCACATAGACCTTACTGCTCGTTTGAGGTCCGTTTTAATATAATAGACTTTCATGCATTTCTGTAGAACTTAGATAACTTGTCTTCGCGTGCTTCCCTGGGTTGATCCAATTCTGGGAACGACATAAGGTATTTAGTTCTGAATATGATAATTTTAATGTGAATTGTTAGTTGTGTAACTCTGTAAAATGACAGGTTTATGACAAAGCGAATTGTGTTTCGGAATGACCCACTATAGTTTTGTCTGCATAATTTTTATTTTATTTTATCTACGCTGTATCTTTCAGCGCATTTGGGCCTTCTTTAGGTTCTCTACTTAAGAGTGAAGAAGCCTGTTGTGTGAACTTGTATTATCCAGTAAGTCTGCATGCCACGGTAAGTACTGTATATAAACAACAGATTATACAAATGGCTTCTTTAAACTTAAGTTTAAACTCCCGTAGATGGACCAATTTTGGCTGATACATACAATGTAGATAAGATAAAGGTCCTGTGGGAGACTATTTTAATCGATTTTTATTAATTATTGTTTCTGTCTATCGATTCGTCCACTAAAAAACACCTGCCCTCAGTAAGATATTCTTACTTAAGTGATACTCCACTTTTTATACTTTTTATTACAGTTGCGAATTCAATTCAGTTTTTATGAATTGAATGTGTTCAGTTTTACCCTGTAGATATTAGCTACGGCATATTTAGGGGTTGCATGGGGTATGTAAATCAATACCCCACTGCTTACAAAGCAAAGCGCTGTTGCTACCACCCCCAACCAAGCCGAAACTGGGTACTATAGCAACCCTGTGAAACAATCCCTGGTGTTTGTTGCGGTTTGGTGGCGTTCGCAGGGCGTTAAGTCTGGTTACGAATAAATTAAAACACCTGTCTAGTTTTTAGTGGAGACTGAATAATTGGTTCCAAACAGACATGTTTATAGCGAAGTCCTTTGAAGTGAACATGCAAATCAGAAAGATAGGATGTTTCTACCTGTAGTCCGGTAGAAATTCGCTAACGTTTCGGAGGTGAATACTGCTTCCATCATCAGCAAGACTTTGAGCCTTCGATGTTGCTGTGGCACGAGTATTAAACATTATCTCATCAATTACAATGACTTGGCTAAAGGCTTTAAAAGGTGATGTCCGTTGCTTGAAGTATACTGATAGAAATTTTTACCTGTGCATTGAAGAATAATTCAAAATACATGTTTGCGTATGTAATGAACACAAAGACTGCATAGAAAGAGTTTATTGATTTTAGTTGAAACTGTAGAAGTTGTTTGTAATGAACTTCTAAACAGTTTATTTTTGAAATTGTTTTTAATTTTGCAGATAAAAGATTGAAGTTAGCTGAATCTATTGGAGCGTGTCTTGGTATAGTAAAGACCAAAGCAGATTATTTCTGCAACAGTTATAAACCAACTGTAATGATAACTCCATTGCGCTTCACGGCAGGAAGGGTTTCATTGCCCCGACATACGAATGCTGTGACAGTGTTAGAAAGGTAAGTTGACGTCAACAGCAAGCATTTCTGTTGCTGTTGTTTTCTTCTAAAATAATATGAAAGAAATTAAAACTTCCAGTTAATTTTAAATTGTGAAAGAATTTGTTAACATTAAAATATTTCTAAGTGAGGAGCCCTTCTTAATTTGAATGTACTCAGTTTTAGATTTTCACTTTACAGTCCGGCATAATGGTCTAAGAAATATTGCAGTTTGATCTTCTTGGAGGCAGAAAAGAACGCTCAGTCTCTGATACCAATTTTATTGTTATAAGAAAGCAGTGCAAATTGTTTAGGACTTGTTCCTTATTTTTGTGCCCCTCTAACTTTTTTGTTTCAAGGTCCCTGTTCTTTGTTAGGAGCACTATTACGTTTATTGGCTCATGCTGAATGATTCTTAAGGTGGCGACTGATTTGTAACATTTGCCTGTAATGTAACGTGTTACAAATCGAACATTACACAAGTGAAGACAGCGAACGGAGCCGCTCGATGCGAGCCGCTCACGCTCGCGGGCGCTCCATCGTGTTGTCGGTTTTTTCGCGAATCCCTTTGAGTGTTACATTACAAGTCAGTCAGTCAGTCGAGCGGCGTCGTAACGAGCATTCACGAGTTCTTTAGATAACAGTAGCGTATTAAATGAAACAAAGATAACACAACCTCCACGTCCGACATATTGAATGAAATGAATGGAGCACAGTCGAGCCGAGCGTTCAAAACGAGCATTCGATGCGCCTCATCAGTTGTGGTGTAATGTAACATGCTCGCCGCGAATGTTACATTACGAGTAAATGTTACAAGTCAGTCGCCACCTTTAAACAAAGACGTTTGTTGAGCGTGTTTAATGTTCACAGGATCAGGCAATTCATTTTAATTAGAAATGAATGTTATGTGTCCTTTCTTTTTATATTTGTTATTCAGTCCAGAACTTTTTGCCTAACAAGGTCCATGCTTTTCTCAGATTGGGATTCCACAGTCTTGTAATCACCAATTACACGGTGCAACAACTCAGAAGACAGCCGTGTTTAAGAACTTTGTTCTTATAGTATTTCTTTTATGTCACTAATGAGCTCTGAAATTTTCAAATTTAACATTGTTTGAATAACAACATATTCCTGCGTTTCAGTGCTGCAGGTGGATCAAGTTTCTGCTTCACCCGTCCAGCTGCGTGCTTGCTTGAGCGAGTGGCGTGTTGTGTAGCGTGGATGGAGCCTGTATTGCTTGTTGGAGAGACGGGCACCGGTAAAACATCGGCAGTTCAATACCTGGCGGAGAAGACAGGTCATCATCTCATTGTGATCAACATGAATCAGCAGAGTGATAGTGCTGATCTCTTGGGCGGGTATGATCCCATCAGTTTCTTATCTTAGACTAAATGATTTGTGAATGTGGGAAAGAATTTAAAATCAGAGTTTATTTGTAGATGTTTTTTCTTGGGGTGGGGGGTTCAAAAGGTTATACTGCATTGATGAATTTAAAACTTGAAATGATTGGTTATTCTTCTTCAGAGTTTTAAATGTAGGATCCCTGTAGACTTTTCCTCTGGAGTGAACAAAAATTAACAGGTAATAACAGCACACCACGGTGGTCTAGCGGTCAGAACACTAGCCTTGTAAGCCTGGGGTCCCGGGTTCGATTCCCGGAGGTGCCCGAATTTATAACTTGTGTTGGGCAAGGCCGTGGTCTAGGCAACACGGAGTTTTCCTCCGTGGCATCCCAACAATTACTCCATTCACACACAGAAGAAGGCAATGGCAAACCACTTCTGGATCAGCTGCCAAGAACGTATATGAACAGGTCCCAGACCGAGAAAA